ATGAGGATTGAGGAAGACGAATGGCGTTTGCGTGTGTTGCCATCGTATGTTGCTGTGGTTGGTAAGCAGCAACAACAATGCAACACCGAAGACGTGAAATTCGATCCATAATTCGTGATGCTAGAGTAAAATGTCGATCGAGCGACCGCTTAACTTGGACACAGGCTGCAATGTTTCTGTGCCTGTCAACATGCACCATCGTTTTTCTTTTGCACCAAGAAGCGATAAAACACCCTCCGAGTACACTGCCAATTCAAACGCCACAGACCCTTAAGGCCTCAAATCAAAAGCACTGCACCGACAGTTCCTGGCCGTTCTGATAGCCGAGCTCCTGATCTATTTGAATTTGAGCTCGCTTGCAAGGATGTACTAGCTGTATTGTTTACATCAGATGCGTGTATCGCGTGAGATAGCACGCGCGTCTGGGGTTTGGCTCCGCAGATGCCAATCGCCCAGAGCCCCAGAGCTGACATCACCAAATTGAAGCAAGGATAGCAAATGTTGTTACGAGTACAGTGCACCCATGTAGACCCACACAGGCCACAATATACCACAATCCCACTTGACCACATATACATACATCTGAGAAAATGCCAACTTCTGAATGGCGCTCTCTCGGTTCCTCCATTCCGAATTATAAAACGTTTTTCTATTTTCTACTCTAGATACATTTGCTTTCACTATATATTTAGACATAGTACGTATCTAAATGCATAACAAAAGTTATACATCTAAAAAAAACAAAACATCTTATAATTTGGAATCGAGGGAGCAGTAGATAACAGTTTGCAAGCCTTATTAGAGACATAAACCAGATGAGGCTGGCTATAAGTTCCAACCGAACACGACTGTTTTTGGAGGACTCATGTGTAATAATATTTAAGACATATTACATAGATTTGGAATTTAAATCCCAAGAAACAGTATCAACATAAGAATTAAATTAACGAAGTGACTCGGACAATCTATCCCTCTCTCCTGGAACATAGTTTTCTCGAACGTGCCGTGTAGCGCGTATTTTATTAAGAGGAAGTAGACAACACCGAACCAAACAACAAAGGACTTGCCGGTAATCCTAGAATTACCAGCGCAATCCCACAAGCACAAACGATACAGCAAGAAAACACGGGAGGCCACCAGCAAACCCCTAACAGACTGAGCCTATCAGAGGAAGACAAGAACACATTGGTAGCCTAAGGTGTAGTGTAGCCGCGATAGCCAGCATCCACCAAGGAAGCCAAGGGAGCCGGCACGACAACAGCGGCAAAGCATCCGCACGAGAAACGACCACGGCGGCCAAGCATCCGCCGGAAAAGGACCATTACGGCAAAGCATCCGTAATGGGGGCCATCACAGGCTCTGCAGCAGAATGAGCGTGGAGACCTAAGCGACGAGGTGGCCAAGCATCCACCCAAGCAGCAACAGCGGCAAAGCATCCACCAACGAACCGAACGACAGCGGCAACAATATACACCGAAGGACAACCCAATGCAAAGAAAGAGACGAAGCACAGATAGGCACAACAGAGCAGGCAGCCGCGGTAAGAGAGTTGTGGCAGCTAGAGTGCCCCAAACAAAGCCTTCAAGAAGGGGATGACATCCGCGGATGCCAACAGCGTTTGGAGAAGCACAGGCAGGATTTCATCCATAGGATGAACAAAGCTTTTTCATCCGGAGCTCGCCTAACGACCCGAACGGTGCGAGCGAGCTTCAACGACGCCGGGAAGGCAACGACGCCGATCTGCGCCACCGCCGCTGGCCCGGAGCAAGAAGCCGGGCAGGGTAGACACCCAAGCACGTTAGTCGACACCGTGGTTCGTGGGAGGGGGGCGCTGCTGTGCCAAGGTGCTTCGTGGCCGGCGAGCAGCGAACTCTTGTCCGCCCCTTATAGCTCCACTAGCACCGCAACCCTCACCGGATCTGCAGCAGACCTCATGAGATTCCGGGCAGCCGCTGGACGGGCCGGCCAACGCCAGCCGACCGCGCCCGTAAGCGACGTAGTTGAGCACGGTAACGGAGACACGCGCGGCGGCCAGCACCACGCAGCTGAGCGCCAGTCCCCGCCGGCCGCGCGGGCAGCGGCGCCGCCGCCATAGCACCCCGCGTCTTGTCCGGCCCGTGGCGGTGATAAGGGCAGACTTGAAGACGCCAAGCATCGCGCGGATCGAGCTCGTGGCGAGCATCGGTACTGGATCTGGTGACAATACGTCACCTAACGCGCGCCGCCGCCCCTATACCCGAGGGTCCCATGGCGCGGACGCCAGCATGCTAGGCCGGTGGCGACCCGAATCGCCGCTTGTCGAAGCGTGGCTCGGCGGCGGCGGCGCGTCCACCGGGCGCCCGAGAAGAAGCGGCCATGAGGGCCGGCACGGTATGAGAGGCCCGGAGGCCGCCCATGCCGAGGACCCCGCTGGACGGCAGCAGCAGGCGCCGGATCCACGCCACTGGAGCAGCCGGCGCCGGATCCGCACACGGGGGGGCCCAAATCCGCCGCCAGGCCGGCCGCACCAACTCGTCGTGTTGTCCCTAGTTCCAATCCCTAGGTGCTAGATATCAGGAGCCGGATCGCCGTATGACTCTTTGAAGAGGGACCAACCAACGGTGATACCCAATGTACAGAACAACATTCCACATCTCTCATAACTTGTGGTGGACATATTAGGGTCAAAAAGAACAGATTTTTAATTACTTCACCAGCATTCAGAGCCTCCACTTCAACTTTGAGTTCTCCAATAAATTCCTGTCGGTGCGAAAAGTGACCAACACGTAAATATTTATAGTTTTGCTGTACGTTGTGATCGGATATGGCCTAGCACTCAATGACACAGAGTTTATACTGGTTCGGGCAACGTGCCCTACGTCCAATTTGAGTCGGTCGGTGACTTTATTCCTCAGTCCAAGTGCTCGAAATTTGCTGTGGGGTTACAAACGAGAAGGAGTAAGATGGGAGGTATCAGAGGTCCGGTCGGACTCCGGACCGAAGGGCCGAGAGTGACGGGAGTTCCGACATGTGCTAAGTGTTGCTCTGTTCGGCTTTAGAGTTCTAGAGCCGAGCGGAGAGAATCGGAATGATCCGTATGTTGTTCGTTGGAATCGTTGGTTGTTCGACTTGATTCTCTTTTTTGGAGAGAGCGCATCCCCTTTTATAGATGAAGGGGGTGTCTTTACAAGGGAGAGAGTGTGTGAGAGAAAGAAAGTGTGTGTGTTACCTAGTCTTGTTGCCCACGTCGTCGGGTACAAGACGGTTTGTCGGCGCCCACAATACTGTTGTCGCTCAGATGCATGTGGTAGGCTCCATCGTCTTCTTCCGGTATGAAAGAATGTCGGCGCCTACCATACTGTAGGATAAATGTCGACGCCCACAACACTGTTGGTGTCCTGTCATGTCTGGAAGGTTATAAAGTACCCTTCCGACATGACCTGATAGTACTGTCTTGCAGGTGTGCAGGGTACGGTCCTTGGTATTGCGGTTGACTGGAGCGCCCCGCCTTACTTGCTTTGTCCGTTTCCTGGGTTTTCACCGAGCGAGCGTCCCCGGTCGGTCGCTCCGGCCTCCCTGTTGGAGAAGAGTTGTAAGCAGAGGTTCGGTGTGTTCCCGGTCGGAGAAGCGGGTCGGAGTCGGAAGTGAGCGTCATTCCTTCTTGGCCAGGCCTTCCGGTCGGAGAGGCGGACCGGAGTCGGAAGCGAGCGCCGTTCCTCCTCGGCCAGGCCTTCCGGTCGGAGAGACGGGCCAGAGTCGGAAGCGAGCGTCGTTCCTCTTTGGCCCTTCCAGTTGGAAGTGACGGAAGTGAGCGCCGTTCCTCCTTGGCCAGGCCTGCCGGTCGGAGAGGCGGGCCGGAGTCGGAAGCGAGCGCCGTTCCTCCTTGGCTAGGCCTTCCGGTCGGAGAGGTGGGCCGGAGTCGGAAGCGAGCGCCGTTGTTCTTTGTCCAGGCCTTTCGGTAGGTGACTGGATCGCCCTTCTGACCTGTCGTTAGGTTTTTGGGCCGGCCTAGAAGTTGCGCGTCGTTCGCAATGTCGTCTGCTAGGCCGAGCTTTTGCTGGGAAGCAGGTCCATGAGGGACCTCGGATTTGTGAACCCGACACAACCTGTCTTGTAAGCTCAATCACACCAGCATCAATCAGCCTGTTCGTTTGGCTGTGGCTTGCCGTATACGATTGTAAATTTCCAGCCGGAACAGTATTTCTCTCTCACACAAACCAGCCAACCGTACTTTTTCACAAACCAGCAACGATACGAACCAGCCAATCGAACAGGCTGAATGATAGGCATTCTTGCACCTCTGGAATCTAGAAGAGAGATCTCCATTTCAGGGATACTGGCCGTGCAGGTAGAGATTCGTCCAGGGACATCTTCTGGCCATGATCCATCAGTAACTTGAACGCTTATAGTAGCCTCAACTGTTTGGAGTATACTGCAAATGTGAACTCAAGTTCGCAACGTTTGCCACATAAGTATCTTGTATTTATGGAAGGAGGATGCCCAATATGACTGACAGAATGATGTGTTTTTAAGACATTAAAGACAAGCACTTTATCTTCGGACTCACTTTCACCCTTTGCTTTCAGTTGAACTTCAAACGAAACCGGATCAAGTATCACAACTGCATGAGATGGGCCTGTTAACAACAAAAGCGGATCCTGTAAGCATCACCATTAATTAATCAATCACTCTTCCTCTATCAACAATAACACAAAGTAATCCCGAGGGTACATGCAGGGGTGAAGCTATATGTGTATTTACCGGGGTCAACCGACCCGTATAAATTCTGGCAAATCCTATATATATTCACTATTTGCTACTAGTACATTTTTGTTTGATGATCAATGGAGCTGACCCCTGTGATTTTGATGCCTGGCTTCGTCCTTGAGTACATGTATATAAACAATCCCTTACCAAGGAAAATACTAGAAAGCAATCAGTCAAATTTTGATTTAATAAGGGTATACTAACTCTTTTTTCAAAATTACTAGCAAGAAGTGTCTGATTTGTTCCAACACTAACTAAATGGCCTGTTCATTGCAACAGCACAACAAATCAAAGAATTACATGGTACCTCTTCAGTTATGGTTAGGCAGTTGTCCCTGGAACGGTGGAAAATAAAGTTACGTCTAGGATCCATAGAGTCCCTGATAGCGATCAAGCCAAATACGTGCAGTGGCCAGTGGACGCCTTCTTCCTCTTTGGGCTCTGAAACCTTAACAGAAAATATCTGCAATCCTTCCTCCACGGTGGCAGATTTTGGGATGGGTCCAAACGTATAGCGCATGGGTGGCACAACAGCTAAAATAAGGATTCCATTAATTAATATACAGAAGGTGAATTAAATCTCACTTGTGCTTTTAGATTTGCTGTTTTACAAATGTACACACATACAAGAGATACCAATATTTTGTAACCTAAGGAAAAACAAATAAAATTTGTTGTGAACACAAAAACGACAAATTTTTTTTATAACTTACTTGTGTCCTCGAAGGAACCTGAACACTTGCCAAAACATCTTTCCCAGTGGCAACGATAACTGACGATTTCCTTATTATCCTCTTCACTCTTCTCGTCACTGGCCTTGCTAATCATAGGCTTCTTCGTCATAGTCTTCCTCATGCTCCCCTTACCATCACATCCCAGCATCGTCGCCATCTCGCAGAAAGCAATCAGATCCAACCTGATTTTGAAACCTGGCGGCCAACACAAGTGATTGAATTTGGGTTTAGATTTAGAATTGGAAGAGACGGTCACCGCGTCTACGCCCTGAACTCCTGATGCCTGATCGGATTTAGATTTGGAAATAGGAAGAGACGGTCACCCCGTCAAAACTGAATCCGAGTGGAGTCTGATAGGCGTACCCGGCCCCAACTCTGATCCGCGTAGTGATCTTACGTACGGTCGATTGAGTTGGAGCCACGAGATTGACTAGAGTACGTAGTGCCTGGAGAAACTCCATGGAGGCACTGGCAGCTGGCAGAGAGCTCACCGCGCGCTGCTCTCCATGCCGATGGCGCACGCTCGCAGCCCTGGCCCCGAACTCTCCGCACCATCCGCGAGCTCGCCACGCATCTCGCCGCGCCCTTCAATTCCGTGCCGCGTCGTCCACCTGAGAGGGATTCAGGGTGCATCGACCTGGTCTGCACGACGCCGTGACGACGGTCGCGCTCCGCTCACCTTGGAGGCGCGGGCTTGAAGGCAGGACCCCAGCGTCGCCAACCCTCGAGGCGCCGCCCGCGACCCTCTGCGCCGACCGCGATCTCCCCGTGCCACCCTCCGCGCCAGCCGAGCGCACTTGCCACGTCCAGGCCCGCGCTGTCCACACACGCTCGCAGCAGCGCACCAGGCCCATGGCGTCCGCACATGCTCGCAGCGGCACTGGCCACGAGCCTCAGCGCTGTTGTTTTCACGGGAGAGAACAAACAGGGAAGCCAAACTAACCAAGGCTCAGAACGGCTGAGGCCCTTTGATCTTATGATTTCCTGGAAGTAAGTTTGGAACAAAAGGAAAATATCTGCAGTCTATCCGGAGAGTTGCATCGAGTGAAACAATAGTTATTGATGAGCTTATTTATAGAGAAATGCTACCTATCTATTTAACCCTATATCTTTTATAAAGACTCTACTACTGCCTGCCCGTGCACCCGTTAGCATCCACGCCCGCTCACTTCTTTTCTCTGCATTATCTTCCTCCTCCTCCTCCTCACCCTCACCTCCTCCGCTTGCGTCTTCCCCGCCGCCCCCACCTCGCTTGGCTCCGGATCCGGCGACGCTGCCCTCGGCTCCGGTGAGTGCCCCCACCTCCACCACCTCACACCGCCACGCCGCTGGTGGTAGGGTCTTGCCGGAGCTCCGCAGCCATGGTCGTGGACCGCGGAGCTCCGGCGAGACCCTACCGCCGTCGGTGACCTCATTCTTCCCCTCCCCCCCGCATGCGGCCATGGCAACCTCCGGCGAACTCCGGCCATGGCTCCCCCGCCCCGCCCTGGCCTGGCCACCGCTGCCGCCACCAGCTCCCCTAAACCGCCCGCCGCTTGACCGGCCTTCCTCTCCCCGGCCGACCCCTTCTAAGGCCGCCGGATTTGGGGAAGAAGGGATGGCGTGGCTCGCCGGAGAGAAAATGGGAATTTCGCCATTCTCGGAACTAGGCTTCGCTACTTTGCCATCGCTCAAAGGGGATTTGCTGTTTTGCCATTGTGAAACACAACCAACACGCTAGAATGCCCTATCGACTCATTTGATGTTGTTGTACACTTTCTATTCCACAATTACCTCTGTCTATGCCCAACTAGGACCGACGGAACGGAGACAGAAAGGAAACGGATCGAGTTGAGTGAGCGACGCGCTCCTCCTAAGTGCCACCGCCGCCAGGCCTCGCCAATCCTGGGCGTTGCCGCCGCCAGGGCTCGCTAGCGCCGCCTCCCACACGCCGCGCCCCCTCGCCGTTGCTGCCTCCCGCCGGTCCCCGCCGCCGCGGAGAGCTGGTGCCGCTAGCGCGCTCATCCTGCCCCACTTCTTCCACATCCGGACTTGCCACATGGATTGCAGCTGCTATGGTTCAAATCAAACCCCATGGATTGTAGTTGGGGTGATCTTATTCCTCGGTATGTACTCCCTTTCTTCCGATGTCATAGGCATCTAACTTCATTTGGGAAGCCAGTAGAACTAGCTCTGCGAGTAGTATTCTAACTTGTTCATCCATTCTTGGTTTTATCTAGGCTCGATGTGAAGCTTGAGCGTAGAATATTTCCTGTAGGAGAAACTAGCGATGCTGGTGCTACTGGTGGCAATGGAAACGGTGTTGATTGGGACCAATTGGAGATTGGAGCTCGAATGTAGAATAGTTCCATGATTGAGTTTAGATTGGCTACAGGAGAGCCCAATTAGGTTGACAAGAAGGTAAACATTGCAATATTATTACAGAGAATGATGTTAGCTGCCTCCTTCCTGCTATTAATTTTTTTTTACATGAGTTTCAGCCGTCTTTGCATTCCTCATGGGAGAAGGAACAAGTGCCCAGCCCACCAAGGCTCATGCAACAACAAGAAAGAAGAGAATTGCAAGGAAGTTGATCCCAAGGAAAATGAAGACCAACTAAAGTTGTGAACTTGTATCATTGTCTGTCTGAACTTGTGTCTGTATGAACTTTAGTCATTGTCAAACCTATGTCATTGTGAACTGAGTTGTATGACTACTTATCATGACCTTTTATGAACTTCTATATGCTGTCCAATTTTTTTTATCAATTATGCTACTGATTTTATGTAGAGAATGAAATAGCAGACTTTCACGATGAAAATCGCAAAAAAAAAACTTTCAGGATGAAGGGACAGGGGAGGCATCGATGGGGTAAGGCTGGGAGCTTGGCCGATCTTTCCTTCCCCGCCCAGGTCACTCCGTTCGTTTTTCCCTCAACAACACAGCTGATCTGTTTTATAGAATGAAGAGCTGATTCCTTTAGAATGAAGGGGCAAGGGCAAATGTGGAATAGAAAGTGTACAACAACATCAAATAGGTTGATAGGGCATTATAGCGTGTTGGCTGTGTTTGATAATGGCAAAACAACGAATCCCATTTGAGAGATGGCAAAGTAGCGAAGCCTCATCTCGAGGATGGCAAAATTCCCATTTTCTCCTCGCCGGGACCCTAGGCATTGTTGTCTTCTTCACTGGCACCAGCGCGGGCGAGGTTGGGTGCGTGGTGGCCCGCGGGCGTGGCCTCAGCGGGAGCATATTGGGGAACAAGGCGTGGGCGCGTGGGAGCACATTGAATAGCCACACCCCCGCATCAGACAACGGAGAGGGTCATGTGGAAAATCAAATAATTAATTAATAATTAATAATAATTAAACTAAAAAGAGGATTTGGGTCCAAATCCTTTTTTTTTGCAAATTTTGCAAAATGGTGAGCAGAGGATGTTCTTTTTTTTTAAAAAAATTGTGAAATGGTAAGCAGAGGATATTTAACATCCGAAGGTATTGTTAGTTTGAACTCCGGAGATGACATGATTTTTTTAACCTAGATGATACCCCTTTTTTCAGATTTTGCAAAATGGTTAGCAGAGGATGTTCTTTTTTTTGTTCAAACTTTGTGAAATGTTGAGGAGAGGATATTTAACATCTGAAGGTGTTTGTTAGTTTGAACTCCAAAGATGACATGATTTTTTTGTAAACTAGATGATACCCCGTGCGTTGTTGCATAGATTTTGTAGCGTTGTACATGATCATGGCGAGAGAAATACTCCTTTCTTCATGATTGTAGCTCAAAATATTAATGAAAATAACAATCCATCTTCACTAAAGCCTAACAAAACGTGGCGTTTTAATTGCCTATCAATCAAATACATATCTTGCTAAAGAAAATACATGTATCCGGTATATGACAAAAGATGAAGGCATCTAACTACTCATGTGTAACATGTAAAAACACATTATGCAGATTCTTAAGTCCTGTCTTGGTCTCCAAAAAGACCACAATTATAGTTTAAAAGTTGTAAAAACACACACATTTGAGATTACACAGTACAACACCGACTCTTACAACGCACGCACACTCACTCCTATGAACACACGCACGCCAACCCTACCCCTATGAGTACCTCCGAAGACTGGACCGGCAAATCCTCGAGATGAGATTGATGAAATCAGCGCCTCACTGTCGATGGGAACGTCCACTTGATTGGTGGATGCTGTTAATACTCTTATGTTCAATTGGATTATTCGGCAAGCGCACATAATATCTGTGCAACACTTAGTCCAGGAGTATTCCAAGTATCGTATTTATATCCTCAAGAAAAGTGTATGACTAATATAATAGATAATACAATTCCCAGTGATTAAACTATAAACCATCTCCGACTCAAGACGAGGGTAACGATAGTTCAAAATATAATAGGGAAATGATCAAGTTGAGATAATTAGATAAACGACATAGCTAGTGGGAGATCATGGAGTGAGTATACGAATCCTATGTTACTTCTAAGGAAGCACAACTCTAGCTAGAGACAAAGGCAAAACAAATATACTAAGAAATAGCAAAGTAAGTCACAATAGCACTTCGGGGGACACACCCCAATCTAACTAACATGGATTAGAGGTTTATTAGACCAGAAATACAACGAGGCCTACGCTTTAATAACTAACTCTATTGTGGTGGAATACATATGATGGACAGGGCTATCACCACCTACCAACTACCAGTCTATCACTAACTATCCGGAGAGCTAGCCACAATCCAAGGTACCCAATAGTATAAACACCATGTTTACACTATATGACACAACTCTAATCTCGCGCAAGACTAGAGTACCAACTAGTGACAAGGATCCCGCACTATTGAGAGCCTAACTATGCTAAACAGGTTAGTACAAGTATCACCAAAGTATAACTAAAGATCAAGACCAGTACTTAGAGTAACTAGACTAGAAAGAGTATTTGAAAAGAAAGTACTATACGCTAAAATTGGTAAAGTCTTACAAAGAGATATATGGGCTATACTAGAGACTCCTAAAGACTATTTCCGGACTATGAGCAAAGCTCAACTCACTCTAACTCCCATTACTAGCCTAACTACTAAAGAGGGGACTACTAGTGATTCTTCTCTTCACTTGCTACTTGATAATCTACTTGATAATTACAAATGAGCTAAACACCCCTATTTATAGTACAATCAGAGAGGGGAGTATTTGTAGCTGAAGTGTGGAGGTTGGTAGCCTGACAGATGGGGTCGAGAGACACCCTATAGGGTTGGCCAACCCTAAGATGTGTCACCTTTGCATCCTGTGGCTCCCAGCACTCCTCCATGGTGGTTGTTAGCTGTCCTAAGTCGGTTGAATATCGGTTGCACGCTCCACTTGCAAATTGTGGGCCCATGATTCCTTGTGTCCATCCATGGAGGTCCTTGGATCAAACTGACACAAGATCAATATAATGTGTGGGAGGATTAGAGAAACATAGCACATCAATTCCTATGTTTTTCCTATCCCTACATGTTTCCTATCCTATGATCCAAAGGAGCCCTAAGTATTTGATTTCTATATCGATATCGAAGTGCTAAGCAGGAAAGTAGAGTGGGCACAGACCGTTGACAAATCATTGCTAGGTTGGCAAAAAGGTATTGACCACCAGTATGGTCCTATTTGCCATGGTTTGTTGGTTTTTCGATTTGAGGCCCAAAAACGTGTCCAACAGATACTTCTATCTCGATCTCCTTTTTTTAGTTCATGCTAGCGTCGAATAGGGTGGCACAAAGCCACATGACGACCACCCCTGTTCTTCTTCCTCCTCCTACTCGCGCCTATCCTTGACCCCACCCTCCTCCTCACTGCCCCCACCGCCGCCCACCGCCCCGCTGTG